TGATTATTATTTGCACAAAATTTTCGCTGAAAAATTCCCTTTCGATTCCAATCAACCTCAGACGCACAAAGACACACCTCGCCCACCAATAAAATTGCATGAGAACCTCTCCAAATAGAGGAATGTAAAAAAATGTCAGAAAAAAGCGACACAGGGGAGATTTTGCCGGAATAGGCAACGGGAGGTTTTGGCGTTCGTTGCCCGCCGCGAACGCGCTGCTCGACAAGCGGGAGTTTTTGGCGAAACGGCGTCTACGCAAACGTGTTAAAAACAAGAGAAACGGACAGGAGTCGGTAGTGCAAATAGGAAGTGAATAGGAGCCTTTCCTGGCCTCTCGCCCGATATCTACATCGAGTTTTCTCTCTCTCGATTGGCAGTAGGGCCTTGTTTGGGACGTTTTCGACGGTTTCCTCTTCTTTTTCCATTACGAGAAAGTCAACTAGCACACACAATTCTGTTTCGCACCCCGCTACCTACAAAGTATACCCCGCCTCATCACAAATTCTCTTTTGAAGTGGTTGAAACAGTTTGTTACAATATGACCCCTTTCTAAACATTTCGCGTGAAGATTTTCGAGTGCTGCTTTGTTTCAGAGTACAGAGAGGAATATTTCTCAAAGGTTACCTGGTAATTACTGCCTTGACCCCAATTCAAAACACAATTAGTGGCTTGGTTCTTTCGAAATTTTCTCTTTTTATCGGGTTTGGCAAGTTCTTCGGATCGTCTTGTCAGTTTCACTTTAGATGTTTTCAGATGATGTCGTTGTTTAGATGTTGTTGTTGCTGAAGTCATGGTTCTTGTTGTAGCATGGCACTTGCGGGATGTTCGAATCGCCACGATACCGACTGAAACGTCCAGTGAGCGGCCTTGCCACTTCTACCAAAGGTGAGTATTCAGTGTGGGTTACCTAAACAAATATGACTCATTTCATGTGAAAGATATTTCGTGTGTATTGAGGGGAGACATCTCTTGTTTTGTTATGTGTCAGAATAAATGTTTTTGTATGTGCGTCATTATGTTTACCCTCAGAAAGAAGGAACTGTTAGCGCGATAAAAAACGCAAACAAAGAAAATAGAGAGGAAAGTGTTTTACTGTACGAGCCACGACGTTTTTTCAGGCGAAGACCGTTTCGTGGATTCAAGGCAGATGTTTAAAAAAGATTACGATTGCCTGAGAATTGTGCTGTTCTGTAAGCTTATGGGGAACTGAGTGTATAGAAATGGAGGAAGCTCCAGAAGCTTTATTGCAAAAACGGCAAAAGGTTCAAAAACCCTCCAAAATATTTTGTTGCATTAAATCGCTTTTAGCACCAAATTCTGGTTTGAATTAGAGTGGCTAGATAATACACAAACATATCAATGACCAGTTTACCATACTCTCTACCCGTCCCTAGAAGACTTGTCCCGGGTCGTCGGCTCTGCGACTGTTCCAAGTCGCGAGCTCAAGGAGGTTATTTAGGGGCACCGTACCAAGGTGCAGGATCAAGAGCCACAATAAGATGCTTGCGGAATAGCAATGATTCCCTGATTCCCTTCATTCCTCGATTCCCAAGATGAGGAAAGATAAAAGATGATATGATGCCGAGAACTATTTTTGCACTGGACCAAATGAGAAAGGGCAACTTTTTCAGACAAATTCATGAAAGTGATCGGTCTTCATGGTCGCCAGCGGATCAACAATGTTCAAGCAGGAAAAAGCCCTATGCGGTGAATAAAAGGTCCCAGTTATTCCTTATAAACTTTGCTATCCTATAAAATGCCCTAATATGGACAAGGGATAATCCTCTGGGCTGGACAAAAAGGCAGTTTGGACAAAACTTCAGATATTTGGTAATTTTCAACGGATTTTCCGAAAAGATGTATTTAATCGACAAGGGGATCATCGCTGGTATCTACGTAACAGTTCACAGGGCTGGGTACCCGCAGTTTCCGCTTCATTAGCCATGTATAGCGTAGAAGCCATTTTCCGTCTTGCTGATAAGTGACATAACTAACGTGAAGTGCATTGTTGCTGATAAGGCCAGCGACTAGTCATCTCCAGCCGTCAGTACTCACCGAAGACATCTCCACTGCCAGACGTATTACTTCCTTATGTACTTGATATCGAAACACGTCACAAATTTTGCTCAAACTTTAATCGCACAGTTTTCTACAACCCTCCAGTAGCAGCGTCTGACTGAATTCTAGCGCTACTCGTTCTCGCATATGAGAATTTTTCGCTTTGTCCAATACAACTACTTATTTCAGGTGTGTATTGAACCGTCTGCGCCATCAAAATGGGCTCCATCTACCGTTCGGAGGTGATGAGCCTCTGCCAGATATTCTTACAGACGGACTCTGCCTACCAATGTGTAGCGGAACTTGGAGAACTTGGTCTTGTGCAATTTCTAGATGTGAGCAGCAAACTTGACTTTTTCGAATGACATCTTGATTGGAATACCCAACAGACGGACTTCATATAACACTTATTCTGTGGCTATTTAGTTGAACGAGGAGATGAATGCGTATCAGAGGAAATTCGTAAACGAAGTACGTCGA